ATGGAGGGATAATCGGGAAGAATAGCAGAGATGCGCTTCCTACCGCGGTTTCCTACCGGAAGGTGCACCTCTGCCATTTCTTCTGTAGGACTGAGTACTTGCCAGACGTACGTGCTAGTTGAAGCCATCATTTTCAGTTGCACTGAATGAGCCTCCAATATGCATTCCTGCCCTGTTGCAACAGTTTTGGTTTACCCCAACCAAGGGTGGAAAATGGGTACTATGCCTTCAAAGGGCAACCCAGGGTGCAGTTTAACGTCTTACCCAGGACTGGTATATGTATACACACACACACACACACACACACACACACACACACACACACACACACACACACCATATATATATATATATATACATATATGTATACATATACATACATAAGATCAGATTCTTCCTCTGATTCTCATATATATATATATATATATATATATATATATATATATATATATATATATATATATATATATATATATATATATATATATATTATATATATATATATATATATATATATATATATATATACATATGGGTATATATATATATATATATATATATATATATATATATATATATATATATACATACATATATATATATATATATATATATATATATATATATATATATATATATATATACATATATATATATATATATATATATATATATATATATATATATTATATATATATATATATATATATATACACAGTAGCAGTCAAGGAAGAGACTAACTCTCGTCATTCCATGCTACTACTCTGCCTTCCTTCAGCATAGAAAGTAGTAGTACATGCCCGAGGAATATCACGCGGCCTTCAAGCAGAATGAAAAACCCAAGAATCTGAGGAAGAACCAGAGGAAGAATCTGAATCTTCTGAAGCAGCAGTCAAGGAAGTGAGCAGGCCTTTACCCACCTTCCTTCAGTGTAGGAATATCATGCTAACATGTATCCCGCTGGGCATGAGTATAAAAAACATCTGGTCCTGAGGAATATGGAGCCACCTCTAAGCCACTATTGCTCCCAGGTCCACCTCGACCCAGAGTGAAACACCTGTCAGGTCCCATCTATGAGCCCCATAAAAATATGAGTAGAAGGGACTCTTTAGCTTTGGCTGGCAAGCATTCTAGAGACAGTGTCTCAATAAAAACACGGGAAACCACCCTGACTGATCTTTCCCTTGTATTTATGGCTTACATCGCTTTCCTCATATTGATATTATACGTATAATCCTGATATAATTTTCTGAGTGATGTCCCACAGTTCGTCCGTTTCCTGCATATCTCCGTCAGCGTTGTTTTCACTGTTACTGTCGTCACCGTTTTAAGACCTCATTCGTATTTTCGACATCACTAACATCATTAGAAAGCATATTTCCCTGTCTACTACCCGATCACCTTTTATTTCCATAATATTTTTTTCTCATTTCAACAAGCTCTTGCCTGATACTTTCATTCCTATTTTCAACATTACTAACATCATTAGAAAGCATATTTTCCCTGTCACTTTTTATTTCCATAATCATTTTTCTCATTTCAGCGACGAGCTCTTGCTTGAAGCTTCTTATTTCCTCAATCACTTCGTTGTTTTGTTCATCACTGGTCACTCCTGTGGCACTGTTTCCCGGGATGGGGAATCCCCCTGGTAGTTGCGGGAATTCCTGTGGGTTGGTGACGTCACACGGCACTGGGTAGGGTGCGCATGG